CGGCGTATTCAGACCCATGAGCAGCAGGCAGAGAGACAGAAGAAAAACCTTCTGCAAAAGGCCTTGATCTTCGGAAACAGGGCCGACCAACTTCGTTTGGAGGACCCCAGTTAAAGCCAACCAGCACTTAATGATCTTAACTTAAAGGTCTAAATATTTAATAGGGAAAGGAACACAGTTTCCTAGCTGGCAAACATTTGCAGGACCCCCAATACCTTTGGGAATGGTGAGGATGGTCTGCGCAGTGCATTTCTTCATGGGGTGCAAGAGTACAATGATTACGGAGCAGCATCGACAAACACAAAATACAGGATCGACGAATCCCAAGCTCTGGCGCTGTTTGCTTTCAGGGAAACTTTGCCAATTAGTAGAACACTTTGCCTTTTTACTTCTGAAACTGAATATCAACTTCCACAGTAAACTATTTTCTTCTAACCAAGGTTGGTGTGTGCCCTGATGTTTGGGAAATGCTTCAAAGACACTTACACATGTTCAGATGGGAGAACTCAGGTGGGGACCATAAACCATCTTCTGATTCTGATTATTGTTCATTCTATCGGGTGTGTATCAATTTTAAAATGTAGTTCAGTCGAATGCATATTATCCTTTCTCTCTGGAACCCTGACAGCCTTTGGGCGGAACACCCTCACCGACCATCGATGGCTACTTGGAGGCGTTCCCCGTGTAAGTCACAGCTCATGGCACACCATCCTATCCATGAACACCGAGAAGCAACTTTTGTTCATGAGGCGCATCATGCTGCTTCACAACTTGGGGAGCAAGCGAGCCGGAAAGGCCGCATCAGTCAAACTCAATCTCAGCGATTGGAATGCTGAGTGCGACCGTATGTGTTTGTTGGGACACCTCTTGCAAGCTATGCATGACGCCACTGCTGACGATGGGCACCCTCTTTTTGATGCACCATTGTTGGCCACCTTGGTGAAGCGTTGCCTTGATGGGTCGCGCTGGCATGATTGTGCCAAAAAAATCAGCCAATCACCAGTCCCTGGTCCCAGGTCCAGGTCCCAGGTCCGAGGTCCTATTTCCAACCAAACACCGGCCAGGGACTTCAACGACGAGGCCAACGAAGTGCTGCTGGTGAAGGACCCGGCCTTCAAGGTCTCATTCATGCAGGTCTGGACAGAGAACCTGCCAAGTGCAACGCCCGGTTCCAGCGCAGAAGCCTTCAGTGCTGCCAACGAGCAAATTGCTCAGTTGAACCAAGATGCACGTAAAGTTGCCTTTGAACGTGACACACTTATCTTTGCAAAAGACACCGCCTCTTTAGGCAAACTTTATGAGCAAGAATCAAAATCCGAGAAATCAAAGAGAACTCAACGGGTGCTCCATATTCGGCAACAGAATGTCATCGGTGCAAGCATTGTTTCTAGCTTCATGCAGAAGAGTATGAACTTTGTTGCTGGAAAACCCTATGAGCTTACAGCTGCAGTTGACAAGGCTTGTCTCTTAAAAAGAACCCTCACCTTTAACTTGGGCATTGTTTGATCTAGTGGTCTCGCACCAGCATGTGTTTGTTTTGCAAGGTTCTCCAATGCAAATTCAAGCAGTGTTAATCGTGTGTGTGCCCCCTGAGTTCATCGATTCAGCTGGAGAAGGTGTAGGTTTTGTGGTCTGGGCTGATGCCACAAAACTGGGACGGTTGTCGAACAACGACCTCAACACAATGTGCGATAGCATGGCCAATGTCCTCACAAAGAAGCCCTTGCACGCTGTGGGATTTTTGGTAGCACCTTATCTATGCAGCGAGAAGGTCCAGAATGGTTCCCGAGGAGAGCGCAGGATCCTTGTCATAAGGCATAAGGGGGGTGTGGGGGGTGTCATCAGTTGTCCTAAAAACACCTCCTTCAGATGGGGGCTTGATCAGGGAACACCCTCCTCTCAGCTCAGGAGAATTGAAGACAAACTCGACATGCTCGGCCTGGCAAGTCTGATGGTCACCATCAAAATGGATACACCGCCTGCGAGCAAACGCGTGCCATGCGTGTTTCACGGCTGGTTGGTCTTTCAAGAGGACACCATTTCCGACAATGCCTTCTCTCAGTGCAGTTTGATGTTGGACAGGCGTGTTTTTTTTATGGTTTTGTATCCTTGGATGGGAAAGGTCCAAACTGTAGAAGGCTAGTAGGTGTTGGATGGCCATAGGAACACTTGATTCCATTGCTTTAATCAGCCAACTCCACAATCCATCTACAGGTGTCCGCGTACAACAATTTCATGGACTCCAGAAACTGCATACATCATACCAATTGCGGAGAAAGACACACTTCCGCACGCAGCAGATGGATCTCGGTGCTTTAGCATTAATTTAGTAAAGAATGTCTATTCACCCTCGTTGCCCTCTTAGAATCTTGCAGTCAGTGAATACTTTAACAGTTCACTAGTTCTTAGAACCACTGTTTGTTTGCTATGACAGCGAACACCCAATTAGTCCCACTGCTTCTCCAGGTCAATGAGCGACGTTCAGGAGTCAGCACAGCTGCTGTCAGGAAGGGAATTTCCTGTTGCCATCCTTGAGGCTTTATGGAACAAGGCAAAGATTCCTGCTGGCAAAATGATGCTAGTGAATGTCACACCTTACGATGGGTGGCTTGAGAAGATATGTCTAGAGTGGGGTCGAAACCATGCAAAGCAAGAAATCCAATCACTGTCAATTGCAGAGAGCAGCAAATCCATACCTTTGGACTATTGCCAAAAAACTCTGGCAATGGAGCTGCTGGAGGATAGGTGTTGGTGGTGAAACTAAGACCTGAGCCTAACTGTGGACTGTGGACTCTCTAGGACCAACAGCCTAGCTGCAATTTTAAGTTACAGCAGCAGTAAATTAGTTAATCTTGAGAAGTACATTTTGGGATGACCTGACCCCTGAGGACTGGAAGGCAGGCAAACCCACGATGGGCAAGGTGCGTCCGTACGAACCCGATCCAGCTGAATCGGAACAACCCACTGATTTGGCAACTTTCAACTTCAAGCTTGTCAAGGTGGCCGTTGATCCACTGAAATCTGGGTGGGGGAGGTACACGATATCAATACCAACAAGTGTACGTGAGATGTACGCAAATGACATTGTCTATGGAGAAGATTGGGCGAGTCTCTTGAAAGACTTTGACAAGAGGCCCTTGATGTCCAAAAAACATAAAACACGTTGTTTCACAGGGATCCCATGCCAACATACCTTCTCCATCCCATCCCATGCCATCCTTTACAACTCAGACTCCACATCAGGTTTGGCATTGGTCAGAGTCCTGCCTTGGCAGTGGTCGCAGCGCCACCGCCTGAACCAGAAGAAGTCCAGCCACCGTGGCAAGAGCCGGTTACCATGGATAGCCTTTTGGAGTCTTACTTGGTGGAAACAAAGATTTCAGGTCGGGTGCCAGGCACAACCCTGATCATATGCCCAGTCAAGAGGCGGAATGGAACTACTGACCAAATCAGCGAGGGCCAAAATTACAAGCTCTTCATTGTTCCCCGCCTTTGAAACTATCATCCTCAGTTAATTCGATTGGTTGGCAACTGAAAGTACCATCATATAGAGCCGCCGTTATATACACACCACCATACTATGGATATCTAAGGCTGCCCACATGGATGTCGTCCTGGGGACCGACGAATACGTGATCGCCCACGGTGCCAGCAAGTTCATCAAACCCGAGAAGGTTGCGGAATTGAAGAGGAAAGGGAACCCAGGTGGGAGCATAGCCAGTCAACATGTAGAACTTGGCGTTCAAATTGAACAGTTCCATATGGTTCCAGTCTTTGTTTTTTTCTCAATTTGAATGAAATTGAATTGTGATTCTTCCACACTCCCTTCCTTGGATCAAGCGAAGAACGTGCCCAAGTTGTTCATATCAGGGGGGTTACCAGCCTGCTGTTCCCACCTCATGCCAGCGTCTTTGGCCGATCTACTTGCCCAGCATGGCTTTGATCAGGACAGTTGCTCTCAAAGGGTGATATAATAAGATTCCTGTGCTCCACTGATGTCATAGATTGTCATCAAAGCCATATGAGCCCCCGTTCAACCATGAAGAAATGACCAGTTGCTTCCAGGACTTTTCTGGCTTAGCCAAAGAGGATGCCGGAGCTACTCAGACCCCACCGACAAAAACTGCCAGAAACTAAGTTTCTTTCATTTTCCACTCTAATCGTGTCAATCAAGGGTTCTTGTTGTTTGCCAGGCTCTTGCGTCTCCACCACCAGGGACCACACCCACTCCGGTGAGTCCCGCCGTGGGGGAGGCCTGAACATCCAAAAACAACAACATCTTCTTACTACACGCTGGGTTGTCACTCTTAGTTGCAACAAGTAGTCCTTGGCACCTTCGTGTTTCCAGGTACCTACTGAACAAGTGAAGCCAAAGAGGTTGCAAATGGAGGTTGCAGAGGTGAAAGATAGCCCAAAGCTTCCTATGGCTACCAGGGAATCCACCCAGGAGACCAACCCGAACTTAGATGCTGGTTGCATCAAGAAGCTTGAGGACGAGATCCGTGAGGCAGAAGTATCAGCAAAACAAGAAAAAAAGGAGTCAAAGCCGGCAAAGGAAACATCAAAGGGTTCAAAGAAGACTGATCAAAACGAAGCATCAAAAGTTGTCACCGAGAAAGGCACGAGGAAGATTCCAAAAAATCAAAAAAGTGCAAAACACGCACCAAATGATGAGGAATGCTCTTTGGACTCAGAGGAGCCGCTCTCGGAAGAGTACACTGACCTCGAGCCCTGTAGTGAAGATGAGAAGGAGGAAAAGACAAAGCCAGGGAAGAAGGCCGGGAAAGTCCAGGAGTCAGCCAAGCCAAAAGGCAATGGCGATGGAGAAATTGGAAATCCAGAAGCAAAGGGTAAAAGAAATGACAATGAGCTCAAGAAGGCAGCGGCAAAACCTGCGAGCCAAAAGGGGACAAGTCAGAAGCAGAGCAAAGAAAACAATAAAGAAGAAGAAGAAGATGCTGTCACAAAGAAGCCAAGCAGGGTTGCAAAGGCGAAGACAAACTCTGAGGACGCTGGCAGCAAGAAGAACCAAGAAACTGCTGTCACAGAGGAGAAGCCAAGC